GGCAGGAAATATAGGATTTCCTGGAGGAACAGGCGAGCTTTTCTAAACAGAACTTACAACTTACTACATTTTTCAACTACATTTTCAATAGCAGTTTACCACAACATTTTAAAACTTACATCACTAAAATCTTATGAACTCACCAGCTTAATTGCTGATCAACTCTTTCAAATAACTTGTATTCTCAGGAGCCTAGTAGACAGGTACTCGCACTGGGATTCAGAAGATGGAGCAGTATAGCTCCAAGTCTTGATTGTTATTTGCTTATGTATTCTATGTTTTGTGAACACACCCTTTGTAAACACTTTCTTTCTAATGAAATGGTTGTTCATTACTTTGCTTACTATGATACATGTCTTGTGATACTAAACATGACGTCCTCCACCCCAGAACGTTTCCGCCGTTCCGGTTTTGGGGCGTGACAGACGAGTACGTTGGGCGTACGTGGAGGTACGCTCAGCGTAATGATGGATTATGCATTACTCGTTTGTACTTCATGTTTCAGGTCTGAGTACGCGGGGCGTACGTCTCGAGTACACATGGCGTACTCCCCAGTTCAACTATTTTGGGCCTTTTTGAGTTTGGGCCTTGTTGGGCCATTGAGCTTCTGTTTTTTAGGCCATGGTTAGGCTATGGACTTTCTTGGTATTGGTCCCATGAGAGTTTTTAGGCCCAATTAGGAAGTTGGGCCATATTGGGCTTTGGGTTGCCATTTTGGGCTTTTTGTGTAATTTGGTCGGGCCTTGGTTTTAAGCCAAATGAGAAAAGGGTAAAATGGTCTTTTACCCTTTAGGAAGTTGGTTTATGGAGTAGGCCTTGGATTTTGGGTTTTGGGATAATTAATGATTAAGATTGTATTTTTTGTTAGTTGGCACGAGGATATCCGGTTCAGAAACCCGAGTAGTCATTTGATTATCAACGGATTGAGGTGAGTCTCCTCACTGTGTTTAGTGGGTCTAAGGCACCAATGCAGGCCTATGGTTTATTATGTTATGATGCTAGATGTCTGCACGACTCTTGCATATATTATGCGTTGGTATGTATACCGAGCGAGGCTCGATGTCGAGCGGGGCCCGAGGACTGTATTATATGCTATTGTCTTTGTGATTATCGCATGTGTTCGTATAAGTATATGTTTATATGCATACCGGGCAAGGCTCGATGCTAGGCGGGGCCTGATGACCGAAAAATTTGTATACCGAGCGGGGCTCGATATCGGGCAGGTCCCGTTGCCGGGCGGTACCCGACACCAGGCGAGGCCCGAGGAAGGGCGGGGGCCCAGTATGTGATTATTATGTATGGTATGTGGTATTTTGGGGAACTCACTAAGCTTTGTGCTTACGGTTTTTATGGTTATAGTTTCAGGTACTTCCGGTTCAAAAGGGAAGGGTCCGGCTTGATCGCAACGCATCCACCCATGTTTCCGCATTATGATGATTTTGGGATTGTATTCTGATAACTGTTTTCTTATAAAATACTTTTGAATATTTAGAAAAAGGATATTGAATGTTGACTTAAATATAATCAATGTTTTGGTTGACTTAAAAATGAATTTTTTACCTCATAATTTTCGGGATGTTATACCTTCCAAATAATATCTATATATAAAATCATTAATTGACAGCTAAAATATTATATTCACATTTTAATAAACCAATTAATTCACTTATTTATAGTTTAATGCTAAATAATTATATAAACTAATTCATTCTTACATATTTATACAACACAAAAATAAATATATTCACAAGAAAATTAATACAAATCATTCATAGTTTAACACAAAGTTCATTAAATTGTACAACTTAATATAGTCAGTTTACAGTTTAAACAGAAAATCCGCAGCTTAATGCAATCAATTCACAATTTAAAACACAAAAGATCACAGTTTAATACATAAAATTCACAACTTAATATAGTCAATTCAAAGTTTAAACATAAAATGCACAACTTAATGTAGGTAATTCATACTTTAAAACACAAAAATCACACCTTAATACAATAAAATAACAATTTAATACACAATAAATATAAATTCACAACCATATTTTCAACTTAAAATTTTTAATACAGTCAATTCACAATATAATACACAATATTTACAGCTTAACACATTCACAGTTTAATGCATAAAATTTACAGCTTAATATAGTCAGTTTATAGTTTAAACAGGAAATTCACAGTTTAATGCAGTCAATTTACAGTTTAAAACACAAAAATCACAACTTAATACACAAAATTCACAGCTTAAGACAATAACTAAAACATTAAAACATAAAAATAACAACTTAAAAACCTAAATTAATATATATATATATATATATATATATATATATATATATTGAGAAAACACTAACATAATAACACACATTTTAAACTCAATTCACAATATAAAAACCATAAAGCATAAACTATGTGAAAATATTATAACAAATAATAAAACAAACTTCGATTCACAATTTAATAGCAGTGAATTCACAACTTAATATTATATGCAAATATTATAGCAAATAAGAAAACAAACTTAGATTCACAACTTAATAGCAGTTAAAACTAAGATTAACAAAAACAAACAACAAATTAGATATTTAAACATTAAATTCACACCTTAACAAAAGGGAGAAAGCATCAAAATAAAACTATTACAAAATTCATAGCTTAATACAACATTTCAGACACTCATTCACTGACCGACATCGACAGAAACCGGGGACGAGAATGGTTTAACAACGACCGATTTTATGTCAATTTCTAAGCCGGGTTAAACCAGACGATTTTTCAAAAACTGGTTTGAACTGGTGTAATAGAACCAATAAAAAACCATTTCAACTTGTATAATGGGCTTGTATAGTTTGATTTTCCTTAGCCTCTTAAACAAATAGTTCATTTCAAAGCAAATTGAACATTTTTTAAGTGTGCACAATTCGAAGGCCAATGCACACCACCGCCAGACATATGAAAATTGTTGGTTGAACAAGCGGTCAAACCGGTTGAACCAATGATCGAACCGAAAATTGATCACCATATCGGTTCAATTAAAAATGTCGGTTTTTAAAACATTTTCAAAAGCTCCATAAATAAAAGCATTTCCAATGATCATTTAATATTTTTATCACTTTATTATTCTAATATTATTCTAACAATTTTGACATCTAATTAAATAATCCCTTTAACGGTTTTTTTAATGAATCTAATTTATTGATCCTGCTATAACTTGAAAAATGTTATCCTAATTATTGGCAACATAATATTTTCATGATTCTAATTTTGTTTTCCTTTTTCAACTATTTTTCTTTACTTTCTTTCTTTCCCTCCTGAACCGATAGATTCTATACAAAATGTCTACAAGATCAAAGTCACAACTAAGGACAATGAAGTCTAAAGACACGATTTAGTTTATGTCAAAGATTAAAAGGCATGGTCACGTCTAGTTTCTACAAAGCTTATTTCAAAGATTAAATTCCTTTAAAGATTCAACATCCACCACATTTCTAAGAAGATGAAATTAACATTGTTCCAAGTTTATCACATCAAATTCAAAAGATCGTTTTTTTAATCAATTTTCATTCAAGATCAAGACCAATATTGTTTGAAGATTTCAAAAACAGTTTGAGCATTCGTCATACTCATGTTGCAAGTTACGGTTGAAGGATGTATTAGATAATATATTAGTATTCGATGTTATCATAGTTTCTATACTTAAGTTTATATAGTTTCCCTATTTATGTTTGATATAGTTTTCATATTCTAATATTACTATTAGCATAAAGTCTGCATTGTAATCAATAAATACCTTTGAATCACAAAATTATTCTAAATACATACATATAATTGACCGTATCTACCGATCATATTTTTATGAAAATAATGCCAATTCTCGTAATTTCCTAGGACTTAAATGTTCATTAAGTTTTTTATGCCATGTTTGTGATTAGCTAATCTAATAATGCCCAAAGGCCAAATGTGTCATGCATTCCGATCCATATGTGAACACCGTTTTGTTAAAACATGTTTTATTAAATATCAAGAAATTGATCAAATAACAATTTTTATATTTAAAAATGATCATTTTAAAGGAGATTATTGAATAACTAAAACAAGCTGCACCACCACTTTTGAATAAATTTATTAAGTTATCATTGAATTGTAGGATGTTTTTGCCATTCATTAATGCCACTAAAAGCACCCATTACTATTTTATATATATATATATATATATATATATATATATATATATATATATATATATTAAAGTTACGAAGAAAATGAATAGTAAATTTGTTAATTTTTTTTTGGCAGAATTGATTCCTGTATTATTATTGGGCTTCAAAGTTAAGAATAATAAATTTGGATGTTTTTTGGCAACTCTGCTCCTCATTCTTTAACCATTTTGACACTTTTGGTCCTTGCAATCAATATTTTTACATTTTTTAGGAACCTTTTAATATTTAAAGTTTGACAACAAAACTTTAACGGTTTGACAACTTTGATCCCTTTCTAAAAAGTTGTAAATTTCTATCCCTTTAATTCTTTAACCATTTTCACACTTCTGGTCCTTGCAGTCAAAACTTTTATATTTTTTCATGGATGTTTTTTGGCAACTTTGCTCCTCATTCTTTAACCATTTTGACACTTTTGGTTCTTACAATCAATATTTTTACACTTTTTAGAAACCTTTTAATCTTTAAAGTTTGGCCACAAAACTTTAACGGTTTGACAACTTTGATCCATTTTCTAAAAAGTTGCTAATTTCTACCCCTTTAATTCTTTAGCCATTTTGACACTTCTGGTTCTTGCAGTCAAAACTTTTACATTTTTTCATAAAAACATGAAAAAAACGGTCCGGGGCAAAGTCCGAGCTTTTCATCATTGCACTTTCTATGTCTGTCATATTTATCGATTCGCAAACAATATTGAAAGCTTCTGCCCCGCGTAGGGGGTAACCTTTCTAGTTATTATTATTATTAGTAATTTAGTAAGGCAATAAAAACTGGATTTGTATGAGAAAGGGGACATCGCCTTCCTGGAAATGGAAACGAAGAAATCTGCGTAATTATCAAAATCAACAATCTATTTCTGGACTCGAATCAATCAAAAAGATTTCATGCTGATTTTACTCAAGTCGTTAAAGATTCGAATCAATCTTCCTCTGATGTAGTAGGAGTAGGACCTACCTTTCTCCCTTCCCCTTCCCATCCAATCGCCGCCGCGCCGCACCCACAATGTTCGAACCCATCAATAGTCCTCCCACCATCGCCGCCGTCACCGTCAACGGTGGTCCCAAGCGCTACAAATCAAAACAGCCGCCTCTTACCGTCCATGCCGGCTGCACCTGCTTCCGCCTCCTCTGCCATGCTTCTCGCATTGGCGGGGTCATCGGGAAATCCGGCGTTATCATCAAACAGTTGCAGCAGGAAACCTCAGCCAAAATTCGGGTCGAGGACCCGCCTCCTGATTCCGACGACCGTGTGATCACTGTCATCGCCAACAGCGCAGCGAACAAAACAATATCATTCATTGAACATAATAATCAACTAAACAAAAATTCTGATGAAGGTAGTGGATATAGTGAGGTTTCAGCAGCACAGGAGGCGTTGGTTAAGGTGTTTGAGAGGATTTTACTTGTTGCTGCGGAGGCCGATGGAGGGTATTTTGCCCCTGGGGGAGTAGCTTCGTGTCGATTACTAGCCGATAAGAGTGTTATCGGGTCTGTGATCGGGAAAGGGGGGAAAGTGATCGAGAAGATCAGGAAGGATACTGGATGTAGGGTTAGGATTTTAGTTCAAGATAAGCTTCCTTCATGTGCACTTCCTACAGATGAAATGGTCGAGGTTAGCATCTCGTTTCTATTGCCTTTAAACTGTTTGATTTTATGCCCCACTGAGAAGTAGTCCTAGATTCTTAATCAAACTCATTGTTGCAGAATTTTCACTGATGTGACGGGTTTTGCATTTTGTTTGCGATTAATTTCTTGAAATCACTGTCTTCTTTACATTACGGATCATTGATGATTGTTATGAAGATGTAGAAACAATGGCTGTTCTTTGCAAAAAGACTCCCATTATGGGCATGTTGGGAACATTTAAATTCAAAAGGAGCACTTTTTTTCCAAAATTGCTCACTAGAGTAATGTTTTTTATGGTATTTTGGCCAAGAATGTTCTTTATTGATGGGTGTACAATATTCCCTCAGTACCAATCCGAACACAAGTTCAAATCTTGGGTGTTCTTTGAATATCTTTTTACCTAATTTTTGTCTGGAGACATTTGCTTTTAAGATAACCCCACAATTTTCTATTTTTCAAATGCATGGAAAAGCTTTAAGACAAGACAATTAGTTTATCTTTTTTTTTGTGTTAATATTTGCTTTATTCAACCTCAGTTGGATTAACAAACTTTTTAGGACTACTTTTTATGATGAGTATTAGAATGGCATTAACCTCTTTTGCACACACGAGAGATAGATATCTAGTCTCTGTATAACACCTAATTTGGTTTTAAACGTTCATGTGTAATTTGGTCCTTCAAGTTTGAGTTGATACATGTATTTGTATTCAATATATCTAAATTTAATAATTCATATGTTTGTTGCAGATTGAGGGTGATATTTTGGCCATTAAAAAGGCACTTATTGCTGTGACTCGTTGCATTCAAGATTGCACCCATGCTCAAAGTCAAAAGACAAGGGGAGTTGTAGGTAGGACCCACACTACAGCTCCATGGGATCTCATACCCAATGGGATTTCCAATTCCCCCACACACACACACTCAGACTTTGACTTGCCTCCACCACGAAGTCAAGGTCAAGGTTTTCACCTTCACCCTCACCCTCACCCCCCAACATCCATAGATGCTGACATGGAATCCCAGAAGGAAATAGTTTTCAGGATTCTGTATTCCAGTGATAAAGTGGGTAGCTTGATAGGCAAATCAGGGACAATCATTCAAGCCATTCAAAACGAATCAGGTGCCCATATAGCAATTGGAGCTCCCGTTTCTGATTGTGATGAAAGATTGATCACCATTTCTGCAATGGAGGTTTGCTGCTTACTTACTTACTTTCATACTATGATTTATATAATTTATCATTTTAATCTGTTTCTTTTTGTATTGTGAGAAGAGTGCAGAGTCAAGAAACTCAGCTGCACAAAATGCAGTGATTCTTGTATTCAATAGGTCTGTTGAGTCTGGGTTTCAAAAGGGGATGGATATGGCATCAAGTGGGGCCCAGGTTTCTGCTAGACTTGTGATTTCACAAAACCAAATGGGTTGTCTGTTGGGTAAAGGTGGGTCCATAGTTGCAGATATGAGAAAGGTGACTGGTGCTTTTATAAAGATAGTTGGTGATCATCAAGTTCCTAAGTGTGCACCTGAAACTGATCAAGTAGTGTTGGTGAGCGCTATTTTTTTCATTTAACCAATTTACTATATACATACAAATTATCTGTTGTAATTATAGATTAAATGAAACTTCATTTTTATTTTTTTTATTTTAAAAAAAAAAAAAAAAGATGACAGGAGAGATGATAAATGTACGAGATGCTTTATACAGTGTTACTGGAAGACTAAGAAACAACTCATTCTCAAATAAAATGTCAAATAGCCATGGAACTGGAACAACCAAGGGCACATATACACATCATCAATCTTGTGTTGCCACGTCACATTATCCTAATCAGCATAATACTAATTTAACTCAAGCTATGGATAATCTCAAAGTCTCAAGTAGCAGCATAGATCGTCCTCTGACACCTGGACAATGGCACCTTCCGGTAATATTCAATTTCTTTTTTCTTCCTATTTTTGATGTTTGAGAATTGAATTGTTTCTTTATTTATTGCAGGTGGGACAGGATATTAGCACAGGGTCAACTTCTTTAGGTAGATCTGCTATAGTGAGTAACATGAGTGTGGAAATTCTAGTACCCCAAACTGTCATTGCTTTGGTTTATGGGGAGAATGGAAGCAATCTCACTCGTTTAAGACAGGTAATTGTTACAATTCTACTTCCATTTTCTTTTCTATTATAGCATTGAAAATTGGTTTGTAGATTGCTATAAATAAATATATAATAAGCATTTTTGTTTTATGTAAAGCAGATTTCAGGTGCAAAAGTGGTAGTGCATGAGCCACGTTCAGGAACAAGTGATCACATTGTGGTTATTTCGGGTACTCCCAATGAAACCCAATCTGCTCAGAGTCTCCTTCAAGCATTCATACTTGCAGACCAATCATAACAAACAACCAAAATCACACAATTTATTTTACATACAGCAAGTTAAAAAAGTAATTTCATTACATCTTTTGTCTTTTTGAAACTAAGCCCCAATGAATTCAAAGTAACTGTAAACATCCCGTAAGTTATAGCATCTTGTATTATAGACATTGGAGGGTTTTGGTCTAACATTCAAGAAAAGTAAAACATGAAAAATGTAGACTTTGTGATTATATGGATGAATCATGCTGCTTCTTTTAGTATTATCTCAACATTGTCATGAACACCTTGTAGTAGTAACTCTCCATCATATGTCACAATTTTACGTTTTTTGGCTGCTCTTAGTGTCCCTACAAGCGCCTCGAAGATGTTTGCACATCTGTCATCGTTGAACAGCACGCCAAATATCACCTTCATCATCAATTTTAATCAAAATTTTGTATCAAAAATGAGAAAAAAAATTGTTGATTGAAAGGTTCAATCATGATATCAATAGAAAAAACTATAATGTGCAAGCATATAACGCATTATCGCACTAAATTTATAGATAAATATATATATATATCAAAATAACTCTTTAATTGATTGGAAATATAACTCAAAAACCAATTACATATATATGTGTATATGTCTATGTATGTTGCTGTGTTTTGGTGTGTGTTAACCCTCTTGGTAATACACTGAATATATAGGATTGATAGAATCATTTTAATCCTATAATTAATACACATGAGACCCAACCACTTGTTGGTGTCCCTTACTTTGTTCCAGAAATTGTGTTAGCCTTTTAGGAGTGGAAGACATGGGTGGAGGGAAATGATGACTTAAGATTCCAACAATCACCCCCGAATCTCTAAGTCCTTCTAGAGATTCCCGATCACCGCCAATCTTTAAGTCCTTCTAAAGATGTCTTCGATCCTGATCAAGTCCCGCATTGTCTTGAACTTGGTTCGAGCCAATGGTTTTGTGAGAATGTCTGCCTTTTGTTCTTCACCTGGAATGTACTTCACCTCCACTTGTTCCTTTTCAACACACTTACGAATGAAGTGAAACCTCGTGTGAATGTGTTTGCTTCTTCCGTGAAAAACAGGATTCTTCGTGAGTTCGATAGCTGACTTGTTATCAACTCTTAGGACCACCTTCTCTTGTGCTTTGTTCATGATTTCGCCTAGCAAATCTTGAAGCCATATTGCTTGACATGCAGCCGCAGTTGCAGCCATGAACTCCGCCTCGCAAGATGATAAAGCAACAGTATCTTGCTTTTGAGAACACCATGTTATTGGAGACAACCCATAGTAGAAAATGTGACCGGTTGTGCTTCTTCCGTCGTCCGGGTCGACATTGTGACTACTATCGCTGTAACCAATGATCCGGTTTTGCCCCATCCTCTCGTACTTGATTCCATGTGACGTTGTTCCACGTAAGTACCTTAGGATGTGTTTGATTGCAACACCATGTGATTCTCTTGGATTTTGCATGTATCGACTAACAACTCCAACCGCATATGCCATATCGGGTCTTGTCTGCAAGAGATATCTAAGGCATCCTACCAACTTTCGGTATTGTGTCGGGTCGATTTCGGGTTCATCTTCGGCCTTCGACATTTTGGTTCCTGGATCCATGGGAATGTGGGTCGGATTGCAATCGTGTAAACCGGCTTCTTTTAGAATGCGTCTAGCATACGCTTCTTGGTTTATAGTAATCCCTGATTCTTCTTGTTTGACTTCAATGCCCAGGTAGTAAGTTAATCTTCCAAGATCAGACATCTCGAAGTTCTTGGACATTTCAAATTTGAACCTTTTGATCATGCTCAAATTTGTACCTGTGACAAACAAATCATCAACATAGATTGCTAAAATTAGCAAGTTGGATCCTTCGTTCTTCCGGTACACCGATGGTTCTTTCATGCACTTATGAAATTTCATTCCTTTCAAAATCCCATCAAGTTTTGTATTCCATGCTCTCGGTGCTTGTCTAAGACCATATAGTGCTTTTGAAAGACGGTACACCTTGTGCTCGTCGCCTTTCCTTATGTAGCCTTCCGGTTGATACACATAGACGGTTTCTCTCAACTCTCCATGTAAGAAAGCCGTCTTGACATCCAAGTGGTGAAGCTCCCATCCATTGGTAGCGGCTAAGGCAATGAGAAACCGTATGGTTTCGATGCGAGCTACCGGAGCAAATACTTCTTGAAAGTCAATACCAGGTTGTTGTACGTACCCTTTAGCAACCAACCTCGCCTTGTGTTTGTTTATGGTGCCATCTGCATTTTTCTTCAGCTTGAACACCCATTTGAGTCCAATGGGCTTCACCCCCATAGGTTTGTTTACGAGAGACCAAGTATTGTTCTTGTTGATTGAATTGATCTCTGTATTCATGGCTTTGACCCACTCTGGTTCTTTCTTCGCCTCTTCAACCGATACCGGCTCGTCATTGGTTGCTAGGAGAAGTTCTTCAATTTCATCAACATAAAGTACATAATCTCGTAATCGAATTGGAAGCACCTTTTGTCTTGTGGGCCTTTGGTTTTGAACATTGTTCACGTTGTTGTTGATCGGACTTGGTTGCTCATTTTCTTGTACCTCCACTCCGTCTTCAATCTCGTGATCTGATTCGTTTGGTTCGTTGTTTACTTCGTTTCCTTGGTTGTTGTTTGCCTTATCTTCCGGTAAATCCCATGGTACTATGAATGATCCTGGTTCTTCATTGTCAGGTGTAGCTTCGTTAACCCAATTCCATCCTTTGGTTTCATTAAAAATAACGTCTCGACTTACGATTATTTTTTGTGTAATCGGGTTAAATAACCGATAGGCTTTTGTACCCGGTTCAGAACCAAGATGAACCAATGGTCTTGATCTTGCATCCAATTTTTTCACGTTTACCGGTTCAACTTTTGCATACGCTAAACACCCAAAGATGCGTACGTTCTCCAAATTAGGTTTTCTTTTATACAACTTCTCGTACGGAGTTGTATCACCAAGTACTCTTGTGTAAACACGGTTGACCAGGTTTGTGGAATGTTTTACCGCTTCTCCCCATAGATAGTTTGGAACATGCATCGCCTTCATGATACTTCGTGTCATGTCCATAAGTGTTCTGTTTCTTCGTTCCACAATACCATTTTGTTATGGTGAATATGGGGCGGTAAGATGGCGTTTGATTCCATTCATATCACAAAAGGAATTAAACTCGAGCGAAGTAAACTCACCTCCTCGATCACTTCGAAACACCTTTAAAGACTTTCCGAGCTCATTCTCCGCCAAAGCTTTAAATTTTTTGAAGTGTAAAAACGCCTCATTTTTCTCTTTTAAGAGAAAAATCCACATATACCGTGAAAAATCGTCAATTAGTGTGAAAATGTATCGATTTTGACCCTTCGTTGACGGTGTTATCGGACCACATAAATCACCGTGAACTAGCTCCAATGGCCGTGTTGCTTTGTACGTCGTCATTAATGGAAATGACTTTCTTGTTTGCTTGCCCACCAAACAAGATTCACACAATTGATTTTCACTGTCAAAATGGGGTAACCCTTTGACTAGACCTTTCTTGGACATCTTTTTCATTGACTCGAAATTGATGTGTCCAAGTCTTGCATGCCAGTGCCACGTGTCTTCACTCAGTCTTCTATGAAGGCAAATAGGTACTCCAATAGGCAACTGTATTTTATAAAGGCGATTTGGAGTTCTTTGTACCTTCATTAATAAGCAGTTGTCGGCATCATGCATTGTCAAATAGTTGTCTTTCATCCGAATATCGCACCCGGCTTCGGTTGCTTGTCCGAGACTGAAAATATTATTTTTCAAATCCGGAATGAAATAAATCTCCGTTATCAATCGTTGTTGCCCCGATTTTCCTTGGAAAACAATTGAGCCTTTCCCTTTTATTTCGACACACGAATTATCACCGAATTTGACCTTTCCGGTTATTCCTTCGTCGAGTTCGGAGAAAAATGAACGATTTCCTGTCATGTGATTACTTGCCCCGTTGTCCAAATACCACACATCGTTTTCTTGTGAGTTGTATCGAGACGGTATCACCTTCTCTTCGTTCAAAAATACGGACTCGTGTAGAAATACTGTTTCATCGGCATCGTCGTGTTCAGTAAAATTACTTTCTTGGAATTTTTGGGTTCGGTCCGGACATTTTGATGCGTAATGGCCCGATTTATCGCATCTGTAACAAATAATTTTTGACAGATCTTTTTTCGGGTTACTGTTCGAGTCCGAATTAGAATTGGGCCGGTTATTGGGCTTATTATTGTTTTGGGCCGAATTGGGTCGGGTTGATTTTGACCCGGATCCATTCGAAGACCCGGCTCCACCGGATCCACCTGACCCGGTTCGATTAAAACCCCCCGAACCCCCTTTTCTTCCCTTATTCGACTCCTTCCCTCCCGACGATCCTCCGGACGAACCAGACGCTCCACCACCGCTCCAGCCGCCAGTCGATCTTGAGGCAAACAACACCTTCGCGCCACCATCTCCGCTATCATCTGTCTCTCTTATTCTCTCTTCGTAAGCTTTCAGACGTCCGACTACGTCCTCGAAGCCCACGGATTTCAGATCGAGCACCTGCTCGAGTGATGCTACCAAATGGATGAATCGTCTGGGAACGACCTTCAGAAGCTTCTTCACAAGCTTCGATTCGTCTATCGTTTCACCAAGCGATGCAGATTTCGAAGCTAAACCGGAGAGCTTTCCAGTGAAAGAGTCGATGGTCTCCGTTTCATTCATCCTCAACCGATCGAAATCGGTGTTCAGGGTTTGAAGCCGGGCTTCTTTCACCCGATCAGCGCCAACGTGACGGGCCTTGATTGCTTCCCAGAGAGCCTTTGCGGAGCTGACATCCCCAATTTGCATCATAAGTGCTTCGGGAATTGCTTGATATAGTAAGCCTACTGCTAAGCAGTCTTTTTCTTCAACTTTAGTTGTTCCAGGTTCGATTTCTGACCAAACCTTGTGTATACGCAGGACGACCTTCATGCGTAGAGCCCAGACAGTGTAATTTGTCTGGGTTAACATTGGGCAGGCCACTGATGTGGTTCCGACTTCCTTGATTCTCGTCGGAGGAGCAGCAGCACCCCCACTTCGATCATCTTCAACATCGGACATTTTCTTTTACTGGTGTCCTTCTTGATCACCAGGTATGAATTCAAAGCCCCTGTTCTTGAGCTCTGATACCAATTCTAGTATAACACTTGTATAGTATAGTAATTGTATAAACACAGACCAATATATCAAAATAACTCTTTGATTTATAATTGGTTTTTGAGTGATATTTCCAATTATAAATCAAAGAGTTATTTTGATATATTGGTCTGTGTTTATACAATTACTATACTATACAAGTGTTATACTAGAGATTTCAGGTGCAAAAGTGGTAGTGCATGAGCCACGTTCAGGAACAAGTGATCACATTGTGGTTATTTCGGGTACTCCCAATGAAACCCAATCTGCTCAGAGTCTCCTTCAAGCATTCATACTTGCAGACCAATCATAACAAACAACCAAAATCACACAATTTATTTTACATACAGCAAGTTAAAAAAGTAATTTCATTACATCTTTTGTCTTTTTGAAACTAAGCCCCAATGAATTCAAAGTAACTATAAACATCCCGTAAGTTATAGCATCTTGTATTATAGACATTGGAGGGTTTTGGTCTAACATTCAAGAAAAGTAAAACATGAAAAATGTAGACTTTGTGATTATATGGATGAATCATGCTGCTTCTTTTAGTATTATCTCAACATTGTCATGAACACCTTGTAGTAGTAACTCTCCATCATATGTCATAATTTTACGTTTTTTGGCTGCTCTTAGTGTCCCTACAAGCGCCTCGAAGATGTTTGCACATCTGTCATCGTTGAACAGCACGCCAAATGTCACCTTCATCATCAATTTTAATCAAAATTTTGTATCAAAAATGAGAAAAAAAATTGTTGATTGAAAGGTTCAATCATGATATCAATAGAAAAAACTATAATGTGCAAGCATATAACGCATTATCGCACTAAATTTATAGATAAATAAAAACACATTATAGATCCGCCATTAGCAAACAACAATTCAATTACACCAAATTTCATATCAAATTCTCTGAACATTGATGTAAATATGAAGAACATATGAAGAAAACGTATGTGAATTTGGTGGGTGAGGTTACCTTGTAAGATCCATCGTTTTGTTTGTGGCCAAGTCGTTTGATTTCTTCTTTGAGTTGCTCAATTTCTTCATCTACGTTCATGATTTTCTTGAAGCTTTGGTTTGTTTGGTTTTCACTTTTCAGGGGATCTCGTGTTGTCTCTCTCACAAATCACAATACATACATAGAACCATTTATATGGTTATATTGGGAATACAAATTAATAATACGAGTAATATTATATCTTCAATGTATTTCTTAAATTTAAACTACATGATGACCAATGTGTAAAAGTTTTAACGTCCAATGATATCACCAAATGTCATTCACCAACATTCCTAGGAGGATATGCACGATGAATAAGTCGCATTATTTTTGTTATATTTTCCAATTGCATATTGACAGAGTGGTCCAAGCCGATTTGAGGTTCATGGTAAAATAAAGAAAATGAGGCCCTTAGACTACTCTCATTCACAACCAAAACCAACCCAACAATCAATTAAAAAAATAATTTATCTTTCTTCCACCTACACAATCCAACTAAACCAATTTTTCATACCCATCAGCAACCCAACCCAAACCAAAATTTTATATTATTTATAATTGATTTTTATTATATTATACAATCTAAATATTATACCTTCCAATTTTTTTTACTGTTTTAAGATTATATAGACAATATAAAAAAATTATAAAAAAAAAATTCTTAAAATATATCAATATTGGTTTTTATTTGTAGACAAAATTATTTTACGTATTTTAGTGTGTTTTGTTTATTTTTTTAATAAAAATAAAATTAAACTAATTACAACATAATGTTTAACAAATAAATAATAAATAAAAATGACAACTTGAGGTTTGGTGGAGCGACCTAGTTGTGAGTCTTAAAGGATTTTTTAATTTTTCTTAATTGAAATATGGCAACCAACCAAGCATTTGGTTGCCAATGGGGATGGTCTTACAATCCAAAAAAATAATGCATGAGGGTAGCTTTATTGTTTTTGCTTTTTTTTAAATTACGCCCTTGTTATAAATTTATTCTTATATCGTTTTTGTAATAGTATTAGTTTCTTGTTTTTTCTTTTCTCGCAGCCAGATAAATATTTTCTAGGCAATGTGTTATTATTTTAAACTTATAAAACAATGAGAAAAGAAAAACAAGTAAAGGAAACGAAAACACCTAATTGAGAACTTCTTATGTGAATCATTTTCCAATAACATAGATAATGGTTTTTGATTCGTTTTCTAAGCTCCGACAACAAGGATTTCAAAACTTGTAATATTGAAATTTTAAGTTATCTACAAAAAAATAGAATAAAAGCATATAAATTAATTTTTTATCCGAAGACTAATATGAAAGAAGTGTACCATAACGAAATCATACAATTTACACGAATTAGAAACCATATTAACTTAAATATGAAATCATAAATCAGAATTAGTGAGGTTGTCGGAAATCATATTAACACGAATGCAAGATCAATTTTTTTTTTTTGAATAATGTGTGAAATCATATTATCATAATTGATGTATTAAGAAATATTGAAATCGGAAAATCAAAAAACAGAAACCGAAATTGAAAATCAAAAGGTTGCGTGAAAAAAAAAACCATAATCGAATTATTATGAATCAATTTTATTTTATTTTGTTACTGTTGAAAAAATCAAAATTAACTCATAGTCTTTCGATTGATGGTGGTGAGAAGCTTAATGCGATGATTATTCCAGAAGAATGACACATCGCGTAGTCTTCTCTGTTGATTCTGTTTTGGTTTCATTTTTCCGCTCAGTCGCTATAGATGGTATATTGGTTTTTTCTATATTAGCCTAATAAGTTATATAAAAATGGGACCTTATAAATTTGGAAGCACTGGGTCATGGTCTATGTTGTCCTATCCATTAGCACAACCCTGCATTGTAACGCCCGTAGATCCGGGCTAGTCAATTTAGAGATAATAGGGGTCGAAAATGACTTTTTGACAAAAGATTATTTAGAATAAATAATCTTAACCAAGTTTTAGAATACGTCTCAAGGGTTCCGTACATATAAAGAACGTTGAAATCCGAGTTATAACGAAGAAGTTATGGTCCGTCGAAGTTTTACGGCAAAACCGGCACGACACCGTGAGACGTAAATAGTGAATTTACGATGGAGGAATTTTTAGCCTTAGAAATCTAAACAAAAGTTGTAGTATACGTTAAACCGAGAACATACAAAAAAACGAACACCCAAATCTGACTTCGTATGAGGAAGTTATGAATTTTCTAAGATTTGGCTTAACAGTGCACAGCCCGAAACTCGAATTTTAGATCGAGCGGTTTTTGGCCTGCGCGACCTAAATGAGAATTGAAGATCTCATTAATAGGAACTCAACGGTGAAAAGACAGACGAAAACAGAGTCTGTATGTAGAAGTTATGAATTTTACGCGGACATTTAACAGTATAATCTCCTCGTACTGTTAAATTTAAGATCGGTCGATAATTAGCCGACAGAGTCAAAATGAAAGTTGTAGATCTTATTTTTACCTACGCGTGGATATAAAAAACGTCAAAAACGGAGGTCGTATGTGAAAGTTACGGATTTTAGAAGTCGGAAGTGTGCTGTGCGAAAATGGGTGATGTGGCACAATCTTGGCCATTGCTTTCTCCCCAAGTCTTGCCACTAGATGGTGACATGTGGCACCAAGTTCAGCCATTTTTCACCCTATAAATAGAACCTCTCCCACCCTCATTTTCTTTACACCTTTCCCATTCGTTCTTCTCTTTACTCTCTCTCTAGAACCTCTCTCTAGCCCCGAAAAGCCTAGGGAACCTCCCTAGCACGAGGCGGAAGCCCCGGAGTGCTCGACGGCTCCGAGAAGAAAAGCTTTTCGGCTCGGGAACGCTACTCCAAGCAAAGCCCGGTTTTCTATAAAATTCGCTGTAAGTGAGCTACACCTACGCTATTTTTAATATAGTTTTTATTTAATTATAGTAACGTTATTAGGAACTTATAATTAGTACTTGGGCTATTATTATGGGTTATATAAGTATTTTTTACGCTTATATAATAGTAATAATAGCTAGACTATTAATTAGTCTCGGCGAATAATATACTAAACTCTAGTGGTAATAATAGTAGGTTTCGTCGAAGGAAATTATTTTTAAGAAGCGAAGCGCTGTCTGAGTTCGGAATCACCACCTTTTCAAGTGAGTGCATGGTCCCTTTCATCTTACACATAGATATGAAGTATTTAATATAAATTACGTGCTATGTGTGCATATTGTCTGAATACTTGTTGTCTATGCTGGGTGAAATATTTTTATACACGTTTTAAATGATTTAAATTGTATATGTATTTTATATCTACAAAACGTGTTGGGTAAAACATGGGTAGATGTAATAGTTGTTGTGTGACCAAATAAAATAATGAGAGGCCTCGATATAGATGTTATTGATGATCCAGTCATCTAGTAGAGTATAGATGACGACCACGGACTATTCTAGATAGTCCAGTGGAACGCTAGCAGACTCGCAACCTGTAGGTGTTTATTTGAACTGTGTGCTCACCAGCAGTACTCCATCCCCCACATGGTTGCCTTATTTGACATGAATTGCTGAGGAACCCCCGAAGCATGTGTTGTCACCCCGATGAAAGTCCCTTAGACTAGGTCCCTTGTGTTAGATGTTTTAGGGACGTAAAGTGAGGATAACGGGAATGGGTAATCGGGTTTGTTTGGTTTGATAAAGTTAATAAACTTATTTATTGTGGGTTGAAAACCCTATGTACTCACCGGGTTTCCCAACCTGACTCACTCAGTTTATTTATATCACAGGTGTTGATATGAAGTCACATTACACTGAGAGATTAAGGAGATATAAATCACTAATGATAATGAATGTAAGTTCTGTTTATGCTTATGTTTCTGTATTGACGATGACATCCCAAATGTTTTAAAATGAATAAAAATACTTTTCTTCGGAAATGCTTTGATAACGTATTTATCATGTTTTACTGGGAACAAATTCCGCAACATTTTTATTAAAAGAGGTACTCTGATTTTTATAAAGCATAAACAAAATCGGTATTTTCTGACCGTGAAAATGGGGATGTCACATGCATGCTGCAACAAAATATTGATTTTTATATGAAGCAAGTCGAGTAGAAGGTTACCTATAAATTCATGGTAGAGTGCAATCATGCAAATGGCTTATGGCTCTAGATTCAACATTTTTGGTTTTGGTCTAAAAGTTTTTATCTTTTTGTATTTTCTAACGCAAAATAAAATCAAAAATAAAGAATACTAATTGAGGATTTATTACTAGTTTCAAAATACTGATGAAAGGCTTACAAAACATTTTTTATATAGAACGAGCTAAGTTTGAAAGATATGCCAAAATTTGAAAAACTGAAATTGACATTAAAATCTTCAAATTAAGCTCCTAAATAAAAACAAAAAATTAGAAAGAAATGAAAACAAATATTATGTCATTAAAGCGGAATAAAATAAAAATAAAAATTTGAGAAAAGTAGAATTTAAGAATTAAACGAACAGTTTGTCAAAAGTTTCGACTTGTCCAGAGCTTCTCGACGATGCATCACACGCCTCTAAGAGCATATGGTATGGGCAACTTGAAGTGGTGTTATAACAAGAAGCAACAAGATGAGGGGGTGGTGTTCATGGTGTTATAACACCATGTTAAGAGGAGAGAGATAGAGAGAGATAATTTGGCAGCCAATAGGTGATCACGTTTCTTCTTGTCATGGAGACAACAAGAAGCACCACAACAAGATGCAACAAGGAGGGGGGGCGGTGTTTTTGATATTATAACGGCGTTATGGGGTTGCCAACTCAGCCACAACAAGAAGCAACACGACTCACACCGTATGCTCTAAACTCTTGATAGATCAAAACTCGAAAGCTTAAAAGTAATTTTACATGGGTAAGAGACAAAATTTACAACAATTCAAAAAAAAAATAGACTATCCCATCAAGAAAAGAACTTAAGGGTTGAGTGTATGACTTTTGTAAAGTACAGTACCATTTATGTAATTTAGTCTAAATTTTTATATATTAATCGTTTTATTATAATCCAACGAAACAAACAATGCTAAGCTGCACAAGGTACAAGTCATTAAGCATAAAGAGTGACGTCATATTTGTAAGCCTACCTTCTATGTTCTATGGCACACAGAGTGCATATACCAGTAGTACCTAATCGAATGTTGTGAAAGCCTCATCCGTTTTCTCGTAATCCTAATCCCTACTACGATTAGGGTTCGTTCTGTACTTCAAAAAGGTTGTTTTCCCCCCTTACGCCCTTTCTTACGTTCCTCTTAATTTCACAAGAAGCTTAATTCTGATTCGATTATTCGGTTTTATTTGTTGGATCTCATTCTCATATGTATCTATCGTAGAATTCTGTAAATTTTTTTGCATTTTTGGGGTTTGTTTGATGGTTTTGGAGAATGTCGGAGGCCAATATTAATAATCAACGCCATCATCAAGCATCGATTTACGAGGGCGTTAATCTGCAACCCGTTAATTTGCATCATCATCAGCAACAGGGAATTAGCATCAATAATAACGATAATCAACATCACGTAGTTGAAGATGTGGTTGTACATGAAGATGATGATGTTGCCGTTGGCGAAGAAGAGTCTATAGACAACCCTAGTCGGATCCGCTACGACAACCACAACTCCCATCATCATCACCAGCATAATACTTTACAGAACAGCGGCAGTCTCGAAACCGGCATGGAGGATATGAGCGTTCAGCCTCATGCTTTGTATGTACAGGACGCTGAAATTCAGCCTGTTAGCGGTGGAGTTCCAGGTGCAGGTGGAGGTGGAGGTGCGGATCAGCTTACCCTGTCGTTTCAGGGCGAAGTTTACGTCTTCGATGCCGTTTCGCCTGAAAAGGTTTATTCTCTTTCTATGGCATTAGGGTTTTGTTTGCTTATATTGAAAATGCCGCCTTCGTTATTCATTACCGACCTAATTGAACAATTTCCATTATTTATTGTGGTTTCCCTCTTTTTGGGATGATATTACCAATGCATGCTTACATCTGTAGGATTGAATCATGATATTGATGATTGATTTAGTTCTTGATCTGCCACAAATTTACAGGTGCAAGGTGTGTTATTGCTTTTGGGTGGTTATGAAGTACCAACTGGTGCCCCTACTTTAGGGATCCCCCCTCAAAATCAAAGGGTATGAGTACAGCAGATTGTTCATACATACAAGTTTGGACTTCTGATTTTCATGTTTGTTTTAAGAGATTTTTTTTTTTGGTATAAATGTAATAGGGTTTAAACGAGTTCCCTGGAAGATCAAGTCAACCACAAAGGGCTGCTTCTTTGAGTCGATTCAGGGAGAAGAGAAAAGAAAGATGCTTTGATAAGAAAATCCGTTACACTGTACGGAAGGAAGTTGCTCTTAGGTAATATATATATATATATATATATATATATATATATATATATATATATATATATATATATATATACTAAAGTTTGATGCAGCTATTATATGCTTATAAGTTGAGGTGGATATATTATATCTGATTCACATTTTATACTCCCAGAATGCAGCGTAAAAAAGGGCAGTTTACATCATCCAAGGCCAATTCTGATGAAACAGGTTTACCTTCTTCAGATTGGAACGGTGGTCCTGGTCAAGATGAAGAAACAACGTAAGCAGCCTTTTTTTTCATAATGGTTTTACTTTTTTTTTTTTTTAATATTTTATTTTATTTTGTAGCTTCAATAAGACAATAGTCCATTTGTTACATGGGACTAAACAAACATTCTACGAGGATGAAGAGGGACAGAAGTTTGCAGTTTTTGTCCTATTTTGTTGTGCATTGTCATGTCCTGTCTTTTACTGCATAAGAAACAGCAGTAATTTGGTTGTTTGTGTTACTTTTTACAGATGTAGGCACTGTGGGATCAGTTCAAACTCAACCCCAATGATGCGTCGTGGGCCTTCTGGGCCAAGGACATTGTGCAATGCATGTGGATTGAAATGGGCTAACAAGGTTTGTGAATTAGTTTCTTATCAATTAATTTTGATGTTGAAGTTCTTAACTGATTTATTGAGTTGTAATGTGTACAGGGGGTTTTAAGGGATCTTAACAAGGTTTTAGCAGACCCTACTACTGGAAAGACTATTATTGAGCAGGTGCAGGTGAGGTACACAATTATTTTTCAGATTTAAATAATAATAATAATAATAATATCATTTGGCATTTGTGTTGATGTGTTTTTGGTTTATTTGCAGAGTGGGGGTGGGGAAGGGAATGGAAGTGATGGTGTAAATGTGGTTTTTAATGGAGGACATGGTTCAGCTGTGACTGCTGAAAGGTGAGGGCTTGTTCAGTTATTTGTTGCAGCAGCCAAAGCCAATGGAGATATGTTGAAGGAAAAAAAAGGTGTAAAATAAGAGAGTAGTTACTGTTTACAAAGATTGTAGATATTGGTTTACGTCTTGAGGGAAATGGGAGTTGCATTATATATAGATATATATATATATATATATATATATATATATATATATATATATATATATATATATAGCATTTTTTCTTTTATAATTATAGGGTCGCAATGTAACTTCTAAATTCACGATTTGTAACATTGGTAGCTCACTGCTCACCTCATTGAACATGAAATACATTCGGGTCGTTAGCTTTTTTTTTTTTTTGGATAGAGGATGATATCCCAGTTAAAATTTTATTAATAGAAAAAAATAAGTATAATATACAGGATTAAAGTAAAGAAAAGGGGCCCTTGTACAAGCCCTATGAGCCAAGATATTACATAAAACAACAAAAGGAAAGGAGGTCAGAACAGTTATGTACAAACATAAACTTAAATTACCACGAACAACAAAGACACATACATAACCATACATGCTAGGGAAAAAGCAACCCTATGGATGGAGACTCAATGCGGGTGCTAGGTGGCCCTTAAAGACCAACTCATTTTTTGTAAGCTTTTTGAGAAAAGAGAAGAGAGGCATGAATTGGTTGAGTGGGGTGACAAGTGTTGAGAAAATAATGAAAGCAAAACAGAGGAAGATCGGGGACATCATCACTATTCACCCATACACCATCTCCATTTTAAATGGTATTAATAATGTTCCTGGAGGTACGAGTTATGCTCTTGATGCAGATCCATGTTTTCATGATTTCTATAAATAACAAATTAGACAATATCAAGCTCTATTCGAAGGTTAGGGACTTTTGTAGAAAGAATGCCATGGCTCTTTAAGAAATTCCTAATAGGGTCTTTCAAACGTTTTAGGTTTTAGGAAGCCTTGAACATATGATGCCTACAGATATTAGGATCCCACTAAGATGCAACAACCTGCTTGAAATCTTTTTTATGGGTAAGGAAATTTGGGAATTAAAAGGCCTGGGCTTAAATGAGGAGTGAGAGGGGAAAGAAAGCATAACAGGGCTATGGTCAGAGGTATAGTAAGGGAGGAAGACAACAGAGCGGAAGGGAAAGAAGAGAGGAAATGGGGATTTCAGTATTCTTTTTAAGAAGTCCATTATCACCATTAGGCTTTTGGGTCCAAGTGTAAAAAATGACTTTAAAGTTGAGCTCCTCAGTATCAATCTGATTGACACAGTCACGAAAATCTTTCACATAACGAGAAATACTAGAAACATTTGCGGTGTTGTCTTTAATGTCTAAACAACATATGATGAACCAAAAAGAATGTTTAACCATATGGTTCTGGGGACAAACCGAGTCCCACGTGTGCATAAGTTATTATGATATAAAGAGTCCCATAGGGGACAACGTTGCATATGGTTATTATGATATAAGACTCGAGGGAGTGATGTCATAAGAACCGCACTCCCTCCTCTGCCACATAGGCGCCACATAAGTGTCATGTCAATTTTACCACATTAAGTGTGGTTATTTGCCGCACGCAAGGTGGGGTATACCAAAGGATGAGAAGAGAGAGAGAAACAATTGAATAGAGAAGATAGAGAGTAGGAGGAGTGAAGCACTATTTAGGTGAAGAAAGAGAAACTGTGGTTCTTACCGCAGGGAGGGGGCGGTGTTTTGGGTGATGATGTGGCGGAACCGCAGGTGAAACCGCACCCACTCCCCCTAGTCTAATGGAACTGAATAGGCTCTTGTTGGAGCTATGAATTTTAATAAGAAAATGCATGACCTCGTCGGTGTTATTTAAAAACATCATGTCAACATGTTGAGGGTCCCACACAACAATACGAGTGCCTCTAGGGCTCTAGGGAGTGTTAGACCCAACAAAGTGGGTGCGGTAAGACCGTGGTTTTGCCACAGTGGCGCTGAGGAATATATATATATATATATATATATATATATATATATATATATATATATATATATATATATTCTTTTTTAGCAACCTAAATCGAATTCTTATATCTTTTAATTTCTATTTCTCTGAAAATCACTAGAAAATATTGTCATCTTCGTCTTCTGAAGAACTTCAATTTATGTTTGATGTTGTTGTCGGTGTTGCTCAAATAGTGGAGCAAACGTATAACGCTCTATGTATAACGAAGCCGAAAGTTCACAACGGAGAACACGAAGATATATTCAGAGAAACCGTGAAGATGCCCAACAACACTTGATACAAGATTACTTTGATGAGAATACCATTTTTCAATGGTACTAATTCTAAAGGCGCTTCAGAATGTTCAAACATTTATATAAACGTATAGTCAAAATTTAACGAGGGAGTGTACTTTCTTCCAACAACGTCCCGTTGCTAGAGGTACACCAGGTTTCGCTCCCTCATCATGCTAGCGTACATGGCTTTCCTGGATAGATAGGAAGTTTAGATTCTCTCCATTGGGCATGGGAAATTTCCCTACCTCACACCATGGTCAATTTACCCGAGGTGATCATGGTCACCCAACGGTCATACTTGAAGCGATGACGTCACAGGATTTATGGATTTGACATGTTTTTTTTTGTTCTCTCGGTTCGATTAACGACATCAACATTCTTAATCTTTCACCTATATTTAATAACATTTATGACAGATCTGCACCAGATTCTTCTTTTCAAGTGCATTGAAAACCATATAGTATGGTTATTATCTTGTTTATGGGATCTACCATGAGTATGTTGTGTGTGTTAAATCATTTTCGTGTACACATGATTCTAGACGGAAAAAATTAAAGAGAGCTTAAGAAAGTGTTAGGAAGGATATCGAACAGGACTTTGAATCTCTTAAGAAATGTTGGTACATACTGAAAAAACCAGCACTCTTTTCGGTGAGGTAAAACTTCAAGAAATTATGTATGCATGTATCATATTGCATAATATGATTATTGAAGATGAAGGAAGAGCGATATGTGTGTATGACGAGTATGAAATCATCCCCGAGACAACCAATAAAAATTGGCGGCGATGAGTACATGGATAGGTGAGCAATGATATGTAGCACTGAAACATTTCACAATCTTTGCATTGACTTGGTGAAACACATTTTGTGGGATTCAACACATAATCTCAATTTGGATCACCTGGGATGACTCGAAAGATGAGTTCTAGGATGAAGACTTCATACGGTATGTTTTAGTTATTTGTGAACTTTTTTTAAAGTTTTTTGTGTTTTTTTGTAAGTTATTTTAATTTTTATTTGTATTTTTCTTATTTGAATTTATGCAATTTGGTGTTTTTATTTAAATTAAATTATTACTGTGTGGCAAAGAAACCACACTTTTATGATAAGAATGACCACACTTTTATGATAAGAATGACATAGTGGTGACGTGATATGGTAAAAATTATGGTTTCTTAGCACAACTCCCTCCGAACCTTAGAGGACCACGACCATGAATCAAAACCTTGAGAGACATGCGAAATTTTACATAGAGCCGCACTAGTTTCAAGAGCAGCACAAATATGAAGGGAGCCTTGTGAGTTTTTTTTTAGATGTCTAAAGTGAAAAAGCTTGTTATATTCTTTTTTTGGTTCTAATAAGATTTATTATGTAAATAAAAGATTCCTTAACCACCACCAAAATTTGGTAGAATATAATTACGAGTTGGTCAACTAAATAAAATGACCATATTTTGAACATTATCACAAAAAATATCATTAGTTTTAACAAAAAAAATACAAAATGTTTTTTTAATTTCACATAAAGATTCCATTACAGACATCAATTTAAAAAAGTATGGAACTCTATTTTTGCAAAACGCTTATATCGTTTTATAGTATTCGTCAGAAAATGTGGTGATTGACCCTAACTAGAAGTATACATAATATTTACAAACAACATTAAAAAATATGTTTAACCAAACATGATAAAAAAAAATATATAACTACCTTGTTACCTTGTTTATTTAATTATTATATATCCTGTATTTATTCTGTTCCATCCGATCTATGATATAACAGGTATAACAACAATAAGTCAATAATTCCAGTGCGTATAGAAAGAAGCAAAAACCACAATAAATGAAATTCCTTTGTAAATCTCCGAAACAAGGACAAGTAATTATTCCTAATGCGCTATGAGATTTGTTTGGTGAAAAAAAAAATATGGAACTTAAATGGGTTCCAAAACTGAGATAAATAAACCCTATTCCTGTCAGCAAAACAATGCACTTTATATTTTTCTATATATTAATATTAATTAATATCAACAACTTCACTGGAACTAAACGAATCATTTCTTTCAGATAGAGAGGGACTAGAGGAGAGGGTTTACTGATCATCGAGTGTAGGATAGAAACCAAGTAGGGAACTGCGACTATTTCCATTGGCTTCTACATTCCCATAAAAAGGTGATTGCAGCTCTCCTGAATTAGATGTTGACTTTCTTGACCTTTGGTTCTTGGGTGAAGCTGCTGCATATGAATCATTATAGAATGATGATGAAGATGATGTGGGAAGCCCGTGGATCTTTGGGAGACCCGTTGTGTCGTTGCTTGTCAAACTGTAACCTCTCTCCACTGTTTCCGCTTCCAGTGGTAGTTCATCCAATGTCTGTAACAAAACCACAAATATAATCAACTTCTTATAACTTTTATATATATTTATTATTTTATAATTCAGATTGGAAAACTCAAAACTTACACGAAAAGCTTGCTGAAGAACACGTAACATATCGCGGGTACGTTTTCTTTTTGTAGCAACTTCATCCGGTTCTTGTAACATTTGTTCAAACAAATCGTCTCTGTACAGCTTCTTGATGAACACATTGTGGAGCTCTCTTTTCGTATGGTTCACCTGATAGATAGATATATAGATCATAATTCATCAAAACTATCAACCATATATATATATATATATAATATATATATATATATATATATATATATATATATATATAGCTTCAAGAACAACAGGAAGAAAAGAACAAATATGTCAAGAGGGTGGATATGGTAATTTTACCAAAAAGTGCATGATTGCTTTAGGCACCGAGTCCTCGATGTTTTTTCTGACAATGTCATAATATGACCTTAGTAAAAGCTTTGTAACGTGAATCTCAACGGATTCCTGATCTGAATGGGGGGCATCCGAGGGCCTCAACACTGTTGGGGGCTATTATTGGAAATTAATCACACATTATTAGCATTTTATAATCTTTGAAGAAAATGGAATTTTTACATACGTAACACATACCTCCCTCAAATGGATCATAGAAAATGAATGATCCATAGCCTGAATAGGTTCATCATTAAACAACTTGTTTGCAGGATTTTCTTTCACAGAAGTGCGACTTTCTGACCCACCAAAAATCGATGAGATTCCCCAACTTGTGCTTCCTTGAAAAATACAAATAAATTCATTTAATTTTTTTTATGCTACTAAAAGGTTCTATAAGTTATTACATCTTGTTTTTGTTAAAACAAAAGGTTACCAGCTATTGGCTTCTCAACCTCACCAACTGCTCGAGACCCTGGTTGATTATGCTGTAAACATGCAATTCGAAAGCTATGTTAACTTTTTTTTTTTTTTTTTTAATCTGCTTCTCTAAAATATTCTCCAACAACAATGCTAAAACGGGTTTAAATGTTAAATGCAAGAATAAAAACCTGTTCTGTGACAATTCCATTAACAGGCCTAGCAAGAATTGCACGTGACTTAATACCCCTTTCAGATTGTGGAGCTTTTTCAGACTCAACTCCATCCTACAAAATACAAAATCAATCAAAAAAAATATATAAGTAAACATCCAAAACCACAAAACTTACAATAAAACATAAGATTATAACTATAAACTATATTAACCATTAACCACACCTTTTGCCTCGATACTGTTGTTGCAAGCTTAGAAGATTTCACTTGCTGCAAGGCAACCTCCACAGCTTTACTCCCACCCACAAAATTCGGGTGTGAAGTGTTTATGTAATCCATCTACCCAAAAAAAAAAACAGCAACACTTTCAACCATGTCACAATAAAAATAAATAAAAAATTAAAAGAGACATATAATGATGCTGGATGCATACCTCCATTTCAACTATGTGCCCAATCATGGTTTCAGAAGGCTGAAGACCATCGCGTAAAAAATTCCCTATCACATCATCCATTCTCTTTCTGAGAACAGGAAATCTCTGTAACTCATTCACCATGCATCGATGACTCATCTAAAGCATAAACAAATCAGTCAACTCAATCTCCAATTAGAATTTGAGCAGATAGATTTTGAGAAAGGTTTTACTTTTATCAATTCATCGTAAATGAATCTTGCACATTGAAGGCTTGGATCTAGTAAACGAGCAATTTGTCGTCTAATTAGAACTTCAAATGGAACCTGTGTAACAAAATGTTAAGTTAAAGAAAAGTATGGAGATGTGACTTGTGATTTGTGAGTGAGAGGTTTATAAAAATAAAACCTACTTCAGGTACAAATAATGCAGATCTAGGGCCTGTTGCATTTTGTATAGCGGTTCTGATGTCATCATCAGTCAAGTCCTCACAAGGGTCAACTTCCTGCAGTAGTAACTCGATTGATTAAATATACTTATTGCAAACTAAGAATTTTGGGTGTTAAATATTAATAGGTGAAAATGTGAAATGACACACCTCCAAACTTTTGACAAATATTGACTGGAAAATATAGTGTATTCTTGCTCCTCCTGACAACTCAGATGTTGACATCTCTTCGTTTTTACCCTCAATCATTGAAGAAAAGGCTGTTTAAAGAAATCATGAAGATCATCTATGAGATTCACCAAACATACACATGTACTTTTTATTTTAAAAATAAAAACAACAAGACCAGTATCACCTTCAGAATACTTTGAAAGAATATTTAGAAGAAGAGCTCCCATGCCAGCCTATAAATTATGAAAAAGCAAATGTTAGAAGGTAAAAAGGTAAAAACTTGTCTGAAAAAAGGATTGATAAGCAGATTAAAAACCTTAGACTCTGTAATCTCTCCATAACTAGCATGTTCTTTTGCTACAGAAACTAATGCAGCACTAATACGTGCTTTTAACCCTGGTAACACTGTTTTTATATGTTTTACCAAAATCTACAAAAGAGGACATAAGTTAATATAAAGTTTCATCCTTAATGAGCAGATAAAACCCTAATACAGTTTTACCTGGTTTAACTTTTTTGCCAGCTGGGGTACCCCACAACGATCTGCAAGCTCATTATACACCTACATTATAAAAATTAGTTAAACCATATGAAAATATATTTTTTTAAAAAGAGATATATAAATCATTAAAGGTGGAGGAAAAAGTTGCATACTGGACGACTGCGAAAGAATTTCTCTTCGGCTGCAAGTGCATCTTTAATAGTTCGGTTGAACATAATATCCTGTTTTTAAGAATATGGAAACCATTGTTAGATTAAAAGTTAAAGAAAACTAACATTATATGTAATAATAGAACAAAGAATATTACCTCCTGACTACGATTTACAACACCAATAAAGCCAAGTCGAAGGGGGATCACTTTTCCAAGCAAAAAATTACGTGCATCGGTTCCTCTATCCATAATATCCAACTAAAGCATCGAAAAGGACAACATTGTGTCACAAATGAAGTATAATACTAAATAATGGAAGAGAAGTAAGAATAAACTGAAACTGAAATCATGTATGTTAGTTATAGACTTATAGTATACCTTTGTGATCACACCAATTGTCCTGTAGCCTAACAGCACAAAAAGAAAAGAAGCCATGTTAAAGAGGTGAACTTTCATTCTATTTCTAGTTTTTCTACCAAAAATCACTCAATGAAATCAGTGCCTACCATCAGGATCTGCATTTCCAGCGATTTGAAGTGCATCTGAGTTGGCAAGGTCAGCATTTGCGGGTGTGACAGCTAGGATTAAACAGCTGGGAAGCCTAATGTATGACATTATCATTGTCCTAATACGAGCTTCAATGTCTGATGGCTGATCTCCAACAGGAACTTTTGTTATACCAGGTAAATCCACAAGGGTGATGTCAAGTACATTAGGTGAAAAATCTTTAAACGAATTTGTTTATCAGAGACACCCTTGTTTCCTCCTGCTTCCCTATCTGTCTCAGCCTACAGTATTCAGACACCCAATTAAGGTGTCAATGATCAGACTTTGTGTTGGTTGTCATAAAATAAAGTTTAGCTTTTTCATAGAGGCTTAAAGAATCCAAACTTATCAGAGCTCTAACATTTTTTGCTCTTAATGAATCCTCATACACAAACATACAATTGATTCAGATGAGCTATACCAAAGACACTCTCATGATCTCATCTAACCCTGAATAATCTGATCACCTAGCCGATGTGCAGCTTATGAGTATATACAAAAATTACTTGAACATGAGAGGTTAGATGCTTTGCTGGCCTGAAAGACAAAGACTCATGTTGCTAGGTTTAACAGGCAGTTGGACAAATTCTGAATTATTATCCATATCAATTAAAATGTCACGTTCTTTAAGCTCCAGTAAAATACACTCAGGGTTCTATCAGACATGTAGTTTTGAGTTTTCTGAAGTTGACGAATTCAGGCAGTGTGTTATTAATCTTGGTAGGTAGAAAAAACTGCTTTTGGTCTAAGTATTCAAAGCCCTTTATTTTAAAGACAAAATATCTCAAATATACATGAGAAATCTTTTTGAGTAACAAAAAGTGCATCTGCGCAAGAAATGCTTTTTTTAATTTCACTGGAGAAAACTCATAAATGTTTAACGTACCAGTTCAAGCTAGGTCAACTCAGATAGTAATATAAAAACTATAATGATGATGATAAAAAGTAACAAATTTGCTGTTGCGACGAAGTACCTGAATTTCCTTACGAATTTCATTGAAATTATAGAACCTCTTCCCCGGCACGTGTAAAAACTCACCATACTCTTCATCGGTGCCGTCAGGCTTCCGCTTCGTCTGAAGCAGCTGAAGCACGAGAGGTCGGCGAGTGCAGATGTCGGATCCCCTGGGCAAGAAGTCACGGCCAACGAGAGCTTCAAGCACACTGGACTTACCACTGCTCTGGCTACCAACAACGGCGACCTGAGGGAGCTCGATAGTAGAGGAGCTTCCAAGCTGGGCGAAAATGTCTTGGAGCTTGTTCACGATGGGGATGACGTTGTGGCCAAGAGGAGCGGCGTTGGAGTTGGATGAAGATGGTGGTTGTTGAGGCGACGAAGGGACTACTGGTTCGTCCGCCATTGAACTGGATTGGGTGGTGAGATCGAATTTGAGTGTGTGAAACCCTAGAGGTACGAGGGAGGTGGAGAGAAAGTGGTTTGTGTTGCAAATAGTTTAGAAAGAGATGTGGGAGATTCTCGTGCCGCCCAAGCAGATGGGAATAAAGTGAAACTTTTCAATTTATAGGGGGTGAAATTGATATATTGTGGTGTCGTGTTGTCCAATTTGTCGATTTAAAACATTCGAAATTTGAATTTGGTTTTTCAGGATATACATTTATCTTCGTTAATTTACTTTTGGTTTGAGATTAATATTATTCAATTATGCAACACTGATTGGTATTTGAATTGTGACATGTCGTTTTTCCACGTATTATTAGTGATTTAAATAAATTTTCTATGATCATAAAATCTATATATTTTATTTTGGATCTGCTTCAACTTCAATTCGAAATAAAATTTCTAAAGATTTCTATATTTATACATGTCTCGTCTAGGATGTACTTATCTTCCATGTATCTAAACTCTTGCCTTTCATACTTTTCTTTAGTTGCATGAAATTCTAAATAGATTACCTCAAAGTTAGAAATCTCAAAAACCCTTATGTGATCTTGTTTCCATACGAGAGTTATTCTTACAGTGTTTTCAGTTTTGGTGGCGGAAGCGGTGAGGGTTTTACCCCCGTTTAGTTTTCGGGGGTGGGAAGTTCCGTCTCGAATACCCTTCTGGAGCCTCGAAATAATTGCCCTATATTTACTTTTTTATTTATAAAAAATAAATATTAAACATAAAGTAGTCATTAGGTAATATACGTTTTGTATTTGAATAACTAGTGTAATATATAAAGATAAACAAAATAAAACGAGTTAAAAGTAAAGTAAATAAGGTTAAACGAAAGATTTTGGGCCAAACGGGGTTAAGCTTCAAAATAACACTTAAACTCAAAATCAGTCCATGTAAAAGTATAATGAAACTATGTTGATGATCTAATGATTGAAACTTAATGGAAGCCTATTCAAAACATATCCTAATCCTAAAAGGATTTTCATATTTGGGAAATTCCCAAATTCTAAGTCGAATTTAGAATAAGAACAAGAGAGGTTATACTCTTAGAGTTTCTAATGGATAAATTTAGGGATAAGTATAAGGGGTATCTGTCCTAATTATCTAAAATCGGAACCGGAATCAAAACTGGCGATTCTTAAAATGTTGGAACCACAACCGGAACCGGCGGTTAGCGGTTCCAATACCGGGTACCCGGTTCGTTAAATTTGTTGAATTTTTTAATTTCTTAAAACTATATATATTGTAAACTTACAAGAAAGTTATTGATAATATCAATACATAATTCACTACGTATTAAAAATGAAGATTATAAAATATCAGTAGCTTGAATAACATGACGAAAAAATGGGTGCAGGGTTCTTAATGATGGATTTTGATACATAAAATAAGAAAACTTTTCACAAAAACCGCAACGGAAGCTTTAAAAATTCATTAGAATTTTTCGAGTATGTTTCAAAACAAAACCAACAAAAATCTTTTTAAAGATGTTAGAATGATATTAAAACCAACAATATGGTGTTTTAGTATAACAACCTTTGGAGCCTTTAAACCCACTTGGTTTTGAGGTGTTGATGAATATGGAAATATCAAAGAGGATGATCTTCTCTACAAGTATCCATCACCAAGATTAAGGTACCAAGAAATGCTAGTTTCCTTCTTTCTATACTTTGTTGTTTAAGCCTTTAAGTGTTTGACAAAATAAGCACTAAAGGAAGACACAAAGAAAAACTTTAATCACCAAAACAAACTTCAAAATAGAGCAAGGTGAAAGAAGAGGAATAAGCTTCTTCTTCTTTTAGAGGCAAATGCAAGACACAAAAACTAGCTTCAAATTCATGCGTAAGATGTAACGCCCTGTTCTGAATCGCTTTCCTAATTCGGGAATGTGGCCTGAAGATAGGTTATCATAAGGCTTAGGGCCTTTGGAAAAGAGAGATCTACACCCATTTAGGTACGGATAATGCAATTGAGGTGATTCGGGAGTTTGGGTTGTGCCTTGGAGCCAAGAGGTATATCGGTAAAGTGGCAATTCGAGCTCTTTATGAATTTTGGATTTTTGATCGGAATGTTTTGAGGTGATGATAAGTTTATAGATGAGTAGAGCTTCTCGCCACCTTTCCGTGGATATAAAGAACGTAAAAAACGGAGTTGAAACGAATAAGTTATGGTCGTTGGAAGTTGGAGTAGTTCCGGTGAGTGATCGTTGACTTGTTGACCAAGCTCATTTAAGGCTCACGACGTGAGCATGAAGTGCTCACGATGTAAGGAGCGTCTGATGCACCAAAACTCTAATTTTCGGGTATTTAAAAGTATGAGATGATTAGGGTTGCTTCTCCTCAGCCTCCTTCACTCCCAAGTCACTGAAAAACCCTAGATTCGGCCCTTTTGAGCCCTTGAGCCATTGTTGGTAGTATTGGTGTGTTATTGGTGTCTTGATTTCCTTGAAGAAGAAGAAGAAGAAGAAGAAGCTCTTGTGGTGGTTCCTTTTTGTCAATATAAGCTCTTCCTTGTGGCACTTATAAGCTCATAAGCCTCTGTAAGTCTCAAAGATCCCACCTTTCTTTTCTAATCTTGCTAAATATATGTTATGGTTACCTTATTTGCATGGGATCTTAAATGATCATGCATGAGGTCCATAAAGTTAGCAACTTTATGGACCATTGAGTCATTTGATGTGTTAGAACCCTTGGATTTGGATTTTGGTGCAAGTTTTGGACTCCAAGTTTGAGTTTTGGCCCTTTTTCCTTCATTTTCATCTAAGTTGGTGTTTAAGTCATGTATTGGACATATGTGACAGAAAGCTTCGATTTTTATGGTCCTTGGGGTCAAGGAAGACCCTCTAGACTGTCCTATGTTAAGGCTTAATGGATTAGGAGCTTACTGCTCAATTTTTTTGGTCAGATCCGAACTCATGACGTGAGGAATGAAGCCTCACGACGTGAGAGCGTGTTCGAGGAAGTTTCTGGGCCAAAGTCACGATCTCACAACGTGAGCAGAAGGTGATCACGACGTGAGCATCACCTGTGCAAGTTTTGGGCTCTTTGATTGTGGGCTAGCTTTGTAACGACCCAAATTTTCACGTCCAAAAATTTCATTTTTGATTAAGTGATTTGCAAAACATTTGTAACATAATATCAACCAATCATGTCATTTCATAAAACATGTCTCGTGTCTGAAAACCGAATCGTAAAAACATAATAATGTCAGAGTACAAATCCCAGAATAACTCATAGTGCGGAAAACAATGTGTGTGTATGATGTGCCGCTACCACGCCAGCTCCTTCCCCTTCGCTGAAGAGGCACCTGAAACCAAAACTATAAACTGTAAGCACGAAGCTTAGTGAGTTCCCCCATCGTACCACATACCAATACAATCACATAACATACACACTGCCGGGCAATTCTGGGGTGCCCGACCTACCCGGTACGACCATTCTGGGGTGCCGACCTACCCGCGCAGGCATTCTGGGGTGCCGCCCTACCCATGTCAAGCCATTATGGGGTGCTGACCTACCCGTCGGTCCTAACAACCGAACTTGGGGACTATTCCCCTCCTACTACCATTATCACATATAACATATCATGCCAGCATATAAACATATCATCACATACTGTCAGACATATCTGGGGTGTCTGACCTACCCTTCGGTCCTAACAACCGAACTCTACTACTATCACATATAACATATCATGCCAGCATATAACATATCAGGTAGTAGCAAACCTAGATGATATCACAAAGACAATCATCTAACATACAACTCCTACTGGTGGGCCGGCATTGTGGTCGTAGACCCACCGCTACTGGAAGGTAACTCACCTCGTAGTAGCTGCTGATCTGTGCGGGAATCCTCTGACTGCTGCCGTTGCTGCTCCGGAAATCCTCCGGCTAGAATTCCCACAAAACACTTAGTCATACACTGCTAACTGAACTTAGGGTAAAGTGACCATTTTACCCCTGACCAAGTCAAAGTCAAAGTCAACTTTCTAGTTGACCTGACTCGCAGAGTTGGTTCGCCAACTCGCCGAGTCCCTATCCTTCCATTTGACCTTATACCCGTCTCTACTCGTCGAGTTAGGCGATGAATCGACGAGTTTTCCTTCTAATTGAACATCGACTGAATCTTCATCCGACTCGCCGAGTTGTATGAACAACTCGTCGAGTTCATCTTCAACTGATACACAGGTCCTGTCCTTGACTCGCCGAGTTGTATGAACAACTCGTCGAGTTCATCTTTATCCATAAGAAGATTGCCTTGGACTTGCCGAGTCTGCTCATGCACTCGCCGAGTCCCATGAATTTCCAGAACAATGGCTTAGTCCAGAATGTTGGGTCACTCCCCGGGACTCCCTAAAACCTTTCCACACTCAACTGGGTCCTTTTGACCCTCAACTGATATGGGACAGAAACCTTGGACTCGCCGAGTCCAAGAATGGACTCGTCGAGTCGGTCACATCCTTTCACTAAATCTTCGATTTCTGATGAACAACCCTTGATCAAAAGATAGATCTATGCTTCTACAATCGATCTAGCACGTAAAGTTACAACCTTTACATGCTTGCATGGGACTTTGAGCTCAAAAGGACCTAAAACAAGCTCTTACAATGCATGGGGCCTTCTTTGAGTGCAAAAGCCACTCCTTTCTGTCTTGTAACCCCTCTAAGGGCCTAGATCCGAAACATCAACCCCTAACCATGCTTGCAATCATGGTTGGTGACCAAAATGGCTTAGAAAAGCCCTAAAACTCCCCAAAATGGGATCTATCAAAAGAGCAAACAAGATATAGACTTTATACCTTCTGTAGACTGCAAATGATGCTCAAAATCGGATCCCTCTAGCCTCCTCTTGATCCTTCAAGCTTTTCCTTCCTTCCTTGGATCACAAAAGCACCAAGATCACTCCAAATGCCTTAGATTGCTTCAATAACGGCTAGGGTTTGCTATGGGGATCTTCTGGGAGCAAATGGGACGAAGGAGGCCGAGTTAAGGTGTTTAAATAGGGTGCAAACCCTCGGGTTAGGGTTTTTTGTCCAGACAGGGCCTACTCGCCGAGTCCGGGACCCGACTCGTCGAGTCCACAG